ATAATATGTGCTCACCTGCATCTGGTCCAAGCTCAAGTCCCTCGCAACCGAAACCAACATGTTTCATCAACTCTGTTTCGAATTCCTACATGATGTCATATTTTAGGATTAATGCTCTGCTAAGCGTTAATTTCTCTCTTCACTCTTCATAACTACCCTCTCTCTCACTTGCTAGCCAAAATGTAATTTCGTGATAATCAAATGAAGCAAAAATCAAATAATAAGAAAGTCGTAGGTTTCCGGAACTCCAGAAGCTGTATAGCATTTACGTAAATAAGCTCTTCCCTTTAATGAAGACTCATAAAAATTCTTCATTTGGGGTTGCAATAATCTTTATGTTATATTGAATTACAAAGAAGTGGTAAAAGTTACATGAATGTTCCGGGGGATAAAGACTCGGGACTGATCGCCAGCAATCTCCAACAGTTCAGCTTCATCCACATATGGCCTTGGAGTAACACTGACAGCAACTATGGTAATTCCTAGAAGCAAGAATTTTTTTATCGAATTGTAGCGCATCTGAGCCTAATCCTTGTACCTTCTGCTCGCATAGCGTCAGCAATTTCCTTGGGTGATCGTGCTGAGTGACCATCAGTTAGAATTATTACCATTTTTGGGACATTTGCTCGTGTTCCTGAAAGGAGTGAATTTTTCCAGTTAGATGATTACACAATATGCAAAGCGTGAGCCTCTACCGTCATTGGGTTCGTGCGACTTTAACAAAGCAAAAGTGTCCCGAAGAGCGAGGTCTGTAGATGTAGTGCCTTTTATGGGTCTCAATGTGCGAAGATGATCTATAACGGCTGTATTGTTCCCGAATTCTCTACTATTGAACTTGAAGTGAAGGAAAGTCTGTCCGGAATACGTTAGCAACGCCATTCTGAAACAGAATTTTGAGTATTGCCGAAGAACACTCGAATTAAATCATGATAACGGGCCTGACAGCTTCAGGATGGATATTGATGTTATTCACAAGGCGGTTCACGGCAAATTCCACTTGTTCGTTGAACAGTTGATTGAGGGATTCCGATGCGTCGATGATAAGCGCCAAATCAAGCGGCTTATCCGAGCCTTTCACACAGGCTGCAACAGTTACTCAAAAGTGACGTGCTAGTTTGAACCTTCAGCTTACCAGGAATTTGCTCGCAAATTTCGGTCCCATGGAAAGGGTCAAATTGAGTCTCCAATTTGTCCAAATTCGCGTTCGTGACTATCTTTGACGTATCCTGAAACATAATGGTAAGAACTTTTTCTTTTTATTCAGGTCTATTAAAAGAAAAACTGGAAGGAAAAAATAACGGAGATTGATATAGAAAGAATGATTAGTTGTTTATGAACCTAAACAAAGTTATCAGTTAGAAATAGTATGTATCTTTCATATCTCTCATCATCTGAGCTCTATCGAAATTACAATTCCAACTGTAGGTCGTCGTTTCCATTCCCATGCAGCTTAGTTCGGAATATCGTAACTTATAATCAATTAATAGAGATGCAAAAGGGAAAACGAGAATTATACCGATTAGCGAGAAGGAGAGCACAGTACGCAAATACTGAACAATTCTACCACATCAAAGACACTTGAAAAAACGTTAAGAAGACCACAGGAGATAACCGAGAGATGGCGAGTGTACCTTAGAGAGCTGTGTCTACTACCAGCGCTACAGCCATCCCATCAGCTGACTGTGGAAAGACCAATGCCACTCTTACAGCAGAGGGATATGGCTTGCTATGAATTATTCAACAAAGAACGGCAAGGCTACCGCTCCAGATGACATGCCAAGCGAGTTCAGGAAAGAACGCGGACGGCTCGGTACCTCTTAGCTTGCAGGCTTCTATAAGGTCATCAAAGCCAAAGCATACCCCGTGACTGGTCAAAGAGCACAACGATTCCGGTATGGAAGAATAGGCGAGCGATATTGCAGACTGTTCAACATATCGGCCAATTCGGCTGGTGAGCCACACTTTCAATCTTTGAAAGAGTACTTGAAACACGACTTCGAGCGATCGTAGAGTTGTCACCCAATCGGTGCGGATTCGTGAAATCTGCCGGTACTGCTGACGCCATCCATACTGTACGGATAGTGATGGAGAAGTATAGAGAAGATAAGGAGAACTTTATACGGTTCCCTGGATATGAGAAAGCTTTCGACAAAGTACCTTCTGATATCATTTGGAGGGCACTAAGAAAGCACATTGTTTATATACATCCAATGAATGATATACTACTGAGCCATGAGCCATGTGCAGAATGCGGCAGGTCAGTCACCGTTCCGCATAAAAACCAGCGTACATCAGGGATCGGTGCTCTTTCCTCTACTCTTCATCACACTCATGGACGCAGCGACGGTTAAAGCGAAAGTTTCCATGGGCTCTCATGTATGCAGATGATATTTGGGCAGAAAGCAGGGAACTCGAAGAAGAGGTACAGAGATGGAAGGACCAATTGGGGTCATAGATTGAAGCTCAATACAACGAAGACGGATTATATGGAAGTGGAGGCCAAACTTTAGAACCATACCCATCGATGGAGCCAAACAAGAAG